TGTACTATACCATCATTCTCTTGCTGGCTGAAGTACCGTGCGTTAGAGCTTCCATGGACAACTGTGAAATAGTTCCCTAAAGTGTATTTCTAAGAAACTCTATGACACACAGGACTCACACCTTCCAATACTAGTGAATCGTATTAATGTGTTGCAATAACAGACATTACTGTGGCGCTGTCGTGCAAATACTGCAGGACGAAAACTTTGAAACTAACGTTTGAGATCCCGACTGTGGTGTCTGCATTTCTGATGGAGGCGGAACTGTTGTAGACCCGTGTGCTCAGATTTGGGTGCACGTTAAAGAACCCCAGGTGGTCGAAATTGCCGGAGCCCTCCATTACGGTGTCTCTCATAATCATATGGCGATTTTGGAACGTAACCCCACATATCAATCAAATCAAAGTAAAATAATTTTTTACGTGTTGTCCGGATACGCTGTGTGGAGATTGTTGATAGTGCACCCTATGGAAACGAAAAATATCATTTTGGGGTGGCGCTTATATCGTGTCAATGCTCTTGTAAAGGCACATAAAAGGATTTAAATAATTTTTCTCGCATAAGGAAAATACAATTTAAAGTAGCAAATGCGATCTCTTAACGAAGAAAACTCTAGGTGAGCAAAAGAACGCGCAAAAGCCAAATATAGGAAATGACGTCACCTAGAAGTTGTCGCAGCAGAAGTTGTCGCATAGCTTTTGAGAAATTGGGCTATCGCACACGTGATCGCTTCTCGGTAGTAATAATTTACTTTGTTTTCTATGAAACACAGCACTCGAAAATAGCAAGCTTTGGAAAATTTTATTGAAATATTGTGACCAAACTACGCAAACTACACTAGGAATTGGTGGCGTCGCCCTGATGCTAACGTGTTAACGTCACAGTGGTCAATTCAAGCTCGACACTTTGACCTTCACGTTTTTCTAACTTTAAACACATAATTGCAATTTGAATTAGAAAAAGTTTTTAATCGAATAATTTGTTAGCCTGAACGGTATCATTGCTTCATTATTCGTCTGCAAATTTGGTTAATTTATACGTAATCAGGAAAATCCAACAGGTCGCAAACAATTTCTTCTTTGACAATAAAGTGTTCAATTTCTGGGTCACCAAGATTAAACCTGTGTATTTTCGTCACAAAACAAATAGTGACTGGTGACGAAGAAAAGAACTATAAAGCAATTTATTGGATCACACGTAATATGTGAATCAATGTTATGTGAGGCATGCGGAGGAAAAATGACTGTATGTTGCGATTTCTTGTTTGAGCCTAACTTTACCAAATATGCTGAAGCCATAAAGAATCTTGTCTCCACACACATATATTGAACAGTCACAGATGGTTTATATAAATAGTTGTTCAAATTTGCGTAACGATGCCAACAACAACATGGATATTACAAACACCAGAAGCGGTAAGGTGTTATGAACCGTTCATGCTTGTGATAATGATGGATTTGGCTAGTGCCACGAAGACTAACCTAAGTGGATTTCACATAAACATACAACTGACGCTGAACTAAAATGACGCCTGTAATATAGGTGTACGTTTGTAATGTTCAAAAATTAGATAGCCAGTACTACAACGACAATTGACGTTTCACTAGCATTACACTTGCAGAGAGCCATTTTCTCAAGCTGTTTCGACACCTGACGTAGGTATGAGGTAGAATACTTGATTGACATGTCGAATACTTCAGTTCGATTCCTTCTGTGACTCTGATTTCTATTCTTTGCATTCCTCGACTCAATTCTGCCGATGTCAGTTTTACATGCCAAGAACTTTTTAACAAATTTCGCAGATTTTAGCGTATCTATCTATCTATCTATCTATCTATCTATCTATCTATCTATCTATCTATCTATCTATCTATCTATCTATCTATCTATCTATCTATCTACCTATCTATCTATCTGTCTGTCTGTCTGTCTGTCTATCTATCTATCTATCTATCTATCTATCTATCTATCTATCTATCTATCTATCTATCTGTCTATCTATCTATCTATCTATCTATCTATCTATCTATCTATTTATCTATCTATCTATCTATCTATCTATCTAGCCGCCTACGACTTTTAGCTCTCCTGGCCGTTCTGATAGGGTATCGATAGCGAAAAATTGGTATGGCATAACATGACCGTATGACGGGCAAAAGTGACCTATTATAACATGAAAATCATGACATGTATGTCAAGAATGTCATGATTTACATTTTATTGTCCAGCTGCTATGCGGTGGGTTTGTTCAGATGACCTGTTGCAAAACTGGTATGGTCGGACAAGACTTCTGGGGGAACACAAAAGACAGAAACACTGATGGAAATCATGAGATGCGTGGCAAGTAACAACATTACTACATGCAATGGTAATGATGTGTTTACGGCCGTTTCGCTAGCATCACATATACCAAGTTTGGTACTACGTGACTTGAATAGCCGAAAGTATGTGACTGATGAAAACATGATGATTTGATTGATGATTGATGATTGATTTGTGGGGTTTAACGTCCCAAAACCACCATAAGATTATAAGAGACGCCGTAATAAAGGGCCCCGGAAATTTGGACCACCTGGGGCTGATGAAAACATGGTAATCGTGAGATGCGCGTCATGTAACAACATGACTACCTGCCACGCTCCTGATGCACTCATGGCCATTTTTCTAACTTCACATATAAAAAATTTGGTATTACGCGACGTTAATGGATGACGAAGGTATGTGAATGGTGCAAACTTGATAATCATGAGATGCGGGTTATGTAAGAACATGATTGGTCCAACCTTCTTACCACCCCTAATAATTTTGGTCTACCGCGAGTTGATTAGGCGATTCCAAGAGCTCCCAGGTGGAAGTGGCCAGGTATTTATGCATATATAAAATGACAAAAATGCTCAAAGTGGCCCTGCCATACGCTAAGCAATGCCCACCGTAAATCAAACCAACGACCTCTCGCCCAGCAGCGCGCGGCGCGAAAAGACTCGGCAACAAAGAGTACGTTCTTCAGCGCATCAACAGCAAGCTATTTATATGAACCATTTGTCATTGACGGCACGCACGACTCGGTGACACTATAGCGAGATGTCGAGAAGAGCGCGCTTTAAGGGTCCTCACCCCACTCATTGTGATGCGTGTGTCCCTTCTCCCGATACCATTTGTGCTTTGCCGTGCCGGTACATCGCGTGCTTTCATCGCAAAGTTTGTGTTGAAGTTACAGACCGCATGAATATCACTTCACTCGCTGCAAATTCTGCATTTTGCAAAGGAGCGCGCAGCTAAAATATGCAGAAGAAACAACTATGACAGTTGTTACTTCTACGTGCTCGTCCCATGTAGGCTTGTGTGTTCGTTTCATGCGTCCCGCTTTGTCTTTGAGCAGCCCATTTTAAGCGTTGAGCTGTGGCTGGTAGTTCGCGTTCATTCTGTGTGTTCTTTGGGGGTGTTCTTTGTGCTTCAATAGCACGCTGAAAGTTTTGGGCTGCTTGCTCTTTATCGCGTGATTTTCCTATTGGTAGCTCTCCCATTCATTGTTTCACCCTTGAGGTGAAACTGACTTTTTTGTGTGTCCCAGTGGATGCCATCATTGCGAAGAGTTTATGACATGCTATGCCCACGTGTATGTAAACTTCGCCTACAGCAGTGGTTATTATCACGGGCATACTCATCGGGTTAGAGATGTACCACTATAAAGATGTCAACATGGGTGCACCCACATGAAATGGTGCTATAGCTGCCAAACACCAAAATGCATTGTACAAGCTCTCATATATCAATGCATAATAAACACCCGCCGACGTACCTTTGTTAAGACGCTTACGCCTTTGGCGCTACACCAATTTTTATGACGGAAGGATGAGCCATCTTTTTTTAAGTATTGAGTATTGTTACATTACTACTTGCTAAAAACAAAATTTGACTGAAAGCATTCATAAAGTAATGATCCTTTGGAATTTATTTGTGATGCGTCGTTGTGGCCTTCGGATATACGTCGATTATAAGGTGGCGTAAGAAAGACGTCCGAACACATTGCAGACCAGTAAGGGTCTGCCAGAGCTTTCACTTTATACTTTGAAGCTGCTCGAGCACGTGCTAGCGTGGCAATGATCTTCATTTTAATCGCCTGAAGACGAGAGACATACCGAGCGTCATCTGCTAACACTCGTGACATTTCAACGAAATGTGGGCTAAATATTAGAGCCCAAAACTTATCCATACAAACAAGCCCCCACAACTTGAGCAAGTTGGTAAACAAAACGATATTGATCATTGATTAGATGTTTTAGTGTAACTGAAGGACTAGTGAAGTATTTCCTCCTCTGCGTAGAAATGGTCTATCCAGCTTACAGGCACGGTTAACAACTACATCATTTTCTAAAGATATATCTGTGTTCTAAAAAAGCGCCGTATTGTCAAAAACTTGGATAATGTGTTAGAATATTTTAAATAAGTGTAACTCGCGTTAAGGTTTTTTTAACTATAAAAACTTAATAAAAACAAATGCTATATGAGTAAATATAGGGCGTCATGAAAAGTACATGAGTAACATAATCACAATGGGTAGGCATGCATAAGCTTGGAATGTGAGTGACAACTACGCGTTAGTTGAACCAAAGAATGATTAAGCAATACCAGACTATTTTCAGAACTTATGTAGCATGATTTTCTCTAACAAACTATCCCGAATCGTAGGTGCCGTTTAAATGCGAAGAGCAATAGAGACACAGAGCGATAACGGAATGTTGGGGGCGCTGTTTCGCCGCGTATCTTTTCTATTTTTACACTTTTTGTACTTTTTTCAAGCCTGCATACGTGTTGTATAATTTTAATAAAGAAAATAGGCAAGCGATAATACTGCAAACAGGTTTCTGGCTACAGGATGGTTTGATGCATCACAAACAGAAGGAAGAGAAAAGTTCAACTATATTTGTTTCATTCCGGTTGAAACCTTTATTATTAAGGTTGTATTCATCAAGGCTTTTAAAAAGAAGATATTTTTCTAGGAGTACAATGACCGGAACAGGGATGTGTGGACCACCTTCTGGGCCGCCACCAGCAACCCAAGAGACCTGATATTCGACAGGCTGCTGTTCTGGCCCGTGCATGTGAACGAGTGGCTTCTAATCGACAACGTGGGAGCCTATTCAACGGTGCTAGCTTGTAGCTTCAACGGCTCGGGCATGCCTCCAGTCATTTACATTACGTCTGCAGATGACGCCGAGAACGTCAGTAAAGGCACCGCGGCCGCTGCAATTTGCAGTGGCTATTCCCAGTTGGAGCGCGCAGTCAAGTGAATCAGAGGCACCGCGGGTCATGGATTAATATTTCTTCCAATGTCACATTCATTGTAACTCAACAGAGTGGCATTAGGGGCACGCATTGGCTGATGAAAGTAAATTTTAATACAAGTGTTTATGAGCGAATGTATGGTATAATTTCCCAAAAACCCTATACACGTTCTCTTCTATATATATAATGAATCAATTCTTTCACTTCATGCTCATGACAGCACTTTCAAACCGCAGCCACTCGCGTGTACCTGATTCGGAGAACTTTTACCCCTTTCATAAAAAGGTCATTCGTCGCGTGTGTTGACTAGCCTCATTTTAAACTTTCCTGATCAAAGCCAACTCATTGTAACAGGATTGATTCTTACAACTGAGCAGTGCCTAATGATTTCAGTCAATAAAATGTATTCAAAGGCCCCAATGGGAACATGTCATCAATACATTGTGCTTATGGTGAGCCGCCAGTTAGTGAACGCTATTTTTACATTTCGGTAAAGGGGACATAATCAAACATCAAACAGTTATGTTTTAATTCTTTTCGGGGTGCTTGCTGTTGTCGGAGGAGTAGAAATTATCGGGTGGTGTACTCCTACAGTTCACGTACACAGTGAAATGCCATGTGAACTGCTACACTGGTTCTGGTCCTACGGTGATTAACTGCACTAGAGTTTTAATGAAAGATTATATTTTAACGCGATAGCAATAAAGAGCTTGTTTCGCAGACATTCCGGTGGCGGTGTAATTGGCTGTGAGTGAAAAGTCATCATCTTGTGCCTGACCCAAAGGTCGAGAAAGATGCAAATAAAATAAACAATGAAACAGTCTGCGTCTTTGTGGGAATTGAAACGGGTCGTTTGCATTCGAGCGTGTGCTTTACCACACAGCCACGAGTCTGCTTGTGAATAGACTGAAAGTAACTTCCACTGGTAGGAAACGCAGTGGAAATAACTTTGATGTTTAAAGACACACGCGTCCTGTATAGATCTCTCACAATACAACATGACATATTGCAGTAGCAATGCGTGGTACAATCGTACATTGCCATCGGGTGCCCGAACATATGATTATCATATGACTTCAATGTTTAAAGGTGGTCGCCCACTACCAAATACACACATGTTACTGAGTCTATTACCTTAATTCCACGTAGTGGGTGTCTAGCAAGTTCGACAAGATTTCACGCACCAAGTGTTTCAATTATCCACTAGGGGCAGAATATCGCTATCGTGTTGAACTCCCAAAGGCGAAGCTTAAGGATCTCCCAATTGTTTTTTCACTTACAATTGTATACGCTTCATAGTTGACCAATCTTCGATGAGGCTGGTTCACTGGCGAGGCAGATAATTTAGGTCTAATTATGCCTTATCTAGTCGACAAAAGTTTCACATTGTGTGTTGCGTTCTCATAATCTTGCAGAGCGTTGGAAGCGCATGAATAAATCTGTCCAACGCAATATTCAGCAAACGGCAGTACGCTCAAACTGAGCGACAGGTAATGATCTAATACTGACGATGCATGTATATGAAGTGAGCACGTGAAATTTACAGCGTCATTGACGTGTTTGAATAAAAGACATCTCAATGTACCTTGATCTCGCTTTTTCTTTTTTCATAATGCAGTCTACGCCAAATTATATGAAAAGGCTATATTTGTTGAACTAATAAATGTTATTATTATTTGCGATCCCTACTTTATTACAAATAGGATGATTCTTTTCTTTCCGTATGAGGATAGTTGTGGTCACTGTGAGTAATTTTCTTGAGAAACGTTACACAAAATTAATAGCTTATACTTTGAAAATTTGAGTTGTACGTCTTGTATCAATGTTCTAATGTTTTTTTTTTCTATAAAAGGCACTGATTCAGCCTCGCTTTTAATAAATTACAAGTCTTCTGGTAAAACTTTTTTTCTGCATTACTGTCCTCGCCTTTCTTTTCTTCCTTTCACGGACATAAATGACACAAATAATGTACTACGTTGCTGAAAATGAGTAATTTTCATGCCTTTAAAGATCCACCTATAATTCTGTGTGCATTCCTATTGCGCTTTTTATAAGTAGGTCAAAACAATTCACAACCACACGATAACAATGCTGCTGGTTGTCATGTTACGCTGAAAGTGCAAGGGAATCTATTCAAGGAATCCGAATAGATGAAATTATCTTCTTTCTGGGAAAACTTGTTAGCTCAGCGCCTCAGGCACGGAGACATGTTGGGGCTTCTCGTTCAGTATGTAGCGGTGGCCTCGACTGTGGCACCTATGATGCATTTAGTGGGTATCCTAATTTTTATTGGTATGTTTACCTTCATCGAAACATGCGCGCACAACACAGGACGCCTGCGGTTGACAGGAAGTTTTGCAACTACAGCCATCTTGGTGAGAACAGTGCCACTGACCTAATTTACCAAGATTAAATTTAATAAGCACCATCACTTTAAAAAGTTTCTTAGGCACATATTAGGTGCAAACATTTGTACCCGGAATATTTTCGGCTTTACATTGATGTGGTTAGACATTATAATACATCAGGATAATGCAATGTTATTCAGACTTAGCAATTTTCATATGTCTGAAGCCGTGGTGCGGAAGCCGGCATGTGACCTAATACATTTAGCCACTTTTCAGAAACTTTTTATAGGAGACCTAAAACCAAAAGCACGAGCTTAACAAGTAGAAGGCTGGACACTTCTGTTTCAAGTGATTTTGAACCGCTTTACAACGTTACAGCTGCAATTCTCGCATTTCAGTGGTCATGACGTGGTCACCCAACAATGGGTGGTTTTCAGGGCTAAATAGAAGTAGAAGGTGCATTTTGCGGGAAGGCGTATTTTTTGGACATGACAAGTGTGCTGTAAATATATTTCAGTGCGGAAATAAATCAGCTCTAGTAGTGACAGGCTACGAACCCCGCCACCACCAGCAACCACTGTTTTCACATGCAAGGGGTGTTATAAAGTCATGCGCTGCATGGTGGGGAGCCGCTCCCCCGAAATTTCGGGGGCTGGAAACGGTTCAATTTAAATTCCAAGCTGAAGGAAGCTGAAATACCTCGATCGCACGCCTGGTGGACCACAGAAAAAATAGTTTGCCTGAATGAAAACGCTCGCAAAGCAAGTAACACAAAACAAGATGCTCTGAGAGAGAAAGAGAGAAAATACTTTATTCACTGGATCCTGCGTGAGGTAGGTGCTGGCCTCGCACGGCGCGGTCTACCCTTCTAATGTTCTAGTCTATGCAGTCCTAGAAACACTGGGCCAAAAACTCGAGGGTTGAACCTGACCAAACAGAGGATACTTTGGTTCCCGCGCCCCGCGCTTGCGGGTCACGAGTTCCCGTTCTCCTCTGCTGCCCAGGGCCCCTTCGAGCCGCTGGATCGCCCATTTCTAATATTGGCAGTCCACCGAGCGGATTTACTGCTTCATCTGCGCTGGCAGTTCTTGGCGAACAAGAACTGGTGACACTAGGACACATAGTGAGGTGTGACAGTGCAGCAATACCGGGCGGCGGTTCGTGTGACGGTGCCGACAGTGATGTGTGTGGCAGGGCTGGAAAATCTCATGGCGAAGATGCTCTCAAAGCACGCTAGTTAGCTCGCGTGTGCACCAGTGTTTTCGAGGTTCAGGCCACTCAGAAGCATATAGAGATATTTATTGATAATATCTGGTGTTTTACGCACTTAAATCCCGGTACGAATATGAGGCACCATATCGAAGGCCTCCCAAAATTTTGATCATCTAGAAATTCAACGTGCACTGACATCGCACAGTCTATGGGCTTCAAGCATTTCACCTCCATTGAAATACGACCGCCGCTGCTGGAAGTAAACTCGTGACTTTAGGCGGGACAGCAGCCGCCCCGCCACGGTGGTCTAGTGGCTGAGGTACTCGGCTGCTGACCCGCAGGTCGCGGGATCAAATCTCGGCTGTGGCGGCTGCATTTCCGATGGAGGCGGAAATGTTGTAGGTACGTGTACTCAGATATGGGTGCACGTTAAAGAACCCCAGGTGGTCAAAATTTCCGGAGCCCTCCACTATGGCGTCTCTTATTATCAAATAGTGGTTTCGGGACGTTAAACCCCAAAAATCAAATAATCAAGCAGGCGGGACAGCAGCTAGCATTATATTGCCGTGAGAGATTATAAAATATTCTATTATAAATTATTTGATGTTCTCAGCCAAATACATCAAGCTTTTGCCAGCTTGTTTCTGAACGCACAAGGATTATTCCACATACAAAAAATTTGATCGAAATTTGGGTATCATGGCGCTTTAATGTTATTATTTGGCAAATTGACTGCCACCCTAGTATTCTAAGTCCTAATGTTTGCAGTGCCAAAGTTTTAGAAGAATTTGAACTAGCGAAACAAAACAGTAGGGAAAGGAACGAAGAATAATTACTAATACAAAGTACAATATCCAAAATAGTGGGAAGCTGTCACAAACTCATACTTCGCCCTGCCTTTTCGCTTTGTCGAAGTGGGCTAAAACCTTGTGCAAAGCTATACATGATACATATACCGTTGTAATGTGTAAGTTAATTGATTGATACCTGTGATTTAACGTCCTAAAACCATCATATGATTATGAGAGACGCAGTAGTGGTGGACTGCAGAAAGTTCCACCACCTGGGGTTCTTTAACGCGCACCCAAATCTGAGCGCACGGGCCTACAACATTTCCACCTCCGTCAGAAATGCAGCCACCGCATCTGAGATTCGATCCCGCGACCTGCGGGTGAGCAGCCGAGCACCTTAGCCACTAGATCATCGCGGCGGGGCAATGTGGAGCTAAGTTACATGCCTACTTTCATTTCCACCGTCATCCCTACTGGTCATTTTGACGTAGTTTAATCCCGAACACGTAGAGCTGATTTAGTATTACACTGAAAAACCAGTCGCGACATGGCATGTTTGCCTCAATCTATCGCGCATATCAGCTATTATGCTCATAAGTATGGTGTTGTCTGAAACCGTGTGCATTGCATCGTAGTGTACTGATTACGTGCTTTACACAGATATGTACATACAAGGCTACTTTTATACATTTTAAAACTGGCGCTTAGTTCATCCCTCGGTACTGGTGACGGGAAGTAAGAGCGTGCCCGCACGCGACAGATAACCACATCGGCCTACCTTAGAATTTTTCAGCTACTACTATATTCTTCCTTTGCACGCTTCGCTCAAGCACTTGAAACAGCGGTATGGCCACCTAAATTGCGAGTGCGACGCACGTTTTTTTTTACAAGTTCTCAAGCAAGGCTGCTTCACAAAACTGTGAGATACGTGATTTAACATTCGACTGAAAGCGTGTGCTTTACTTCAAAAAGTACAAAAGCCCTCCATGCTATTCGTGACCTAATACAATACCGCGTATGGATAAGACTGGCTGGAAAGTACAGAACTGATTGTGTAGGTACG